AAAAAAATTCAAATAGTTAGCTGTTTTTAGAAGCTAGGTCAAATAATTAGTAAATAACATGATAACCCAAATGTTAGATATAGGCCTACTTAGACCTAAAACATTAAATCGGAAGACATTGACATTTAATTATGGTTCAAAAACCAATTTTATAATCATGCATGTTCAAAGTTCAAACCCATTACATCTAACATCCCTAGAGTCATTTTTACAACTCAAGGTCAATCCTAACCCCATGAAATCCAAAAGGACCTATTTGGCCTGTAGAAACTCACTCATAGCCATAGACTCAGAGTGAATCCTTGCATTGTAGTGTTTCCCCGTTCGTTAGAGAACTTCAAATCAATGTAATTTGCAAAGTACAATTGAAGAAAGCCAGTGAATTGTCATAGAAGAGAATAGAAAGAAGAGAGGAAGGGATAAGGTGTGTGGTCCTAAGTAAGGGAGGAGTAGTGAGTGAAGTGGGATTTGATTAACAGTTATAGAAAGAGTGCTGACACTTTGCTTGCTTTGTCGGACAACCTGGTTACACTGTGCCCTCTCCTTTCCTCACATGATAATGTGATGCACATGTCCTACACATTTGGGGTCCCCCACCACCCCCAGCTCTCTCCCAGATATCATATTATACTACTAACACACTTTCAAACAAAATAATATCATTATCATCGTTATCTGAAGATGGGCCTTTTTTAAATTGGTTGATTTTTCCAACTTTTCCCTCTTCTTTTTCCTGGAAAAATTCACTCTAGCAAGTACAATTGGTTCAAACATCTTATAGCGTTTCATTGTTCTTAATCCCTTTTTCATAGAGAAACCCATTCTTATCAACATTTTCTGAATTTATTGTTTCTTGTAGTTTTTATCAATCCACGATTATTTTGTTGATATACATACTACTCTGAAGTCTTGATTTTGGACTCAAGCATAAATTTCACTTCTAGGGGGTTTAGCTCTCCACCCTTTGGCTAGGATTCTTCCTCCCTTGAAGTCCCTTTTTTCTACATAAAATGAAAATCATTATCAACAAAATTTGTTGATAGCCGATTCTCACATGTAATCATTTTTTTATTAGTTGGTCACTGGACAGAATGCAAAAATTGGTAAACATATACTAATTTTGATTCCATGTGATTGTTATTAGAAATTTATTGTTAACAAATGTTATTAACAGTTTTTTCGAGTTCAAAAAATAAACTATTATAACAAAACATAAAGGTTAAACCTTTTTTTGGTCCGTCAACTATTATAGGGACCTCTGATTAAGTTTTTCAACTCAAAAAATCCTTTATTTGATCTTTACTGTTTACCATTTTTACCTCAACTTGGTCCTTTTGTTAAAAACCTACCCATGTGTCCAGTTAATTAACAGAAACATAATAATACATCAAAATATTATGTCCACGTGGAAAGATAGCATGGCAAAAATAATGATATGGTAATAAAAATTTAAAAAATTCTCTTTCCCCTTCCTCTTTTCCTTTCTCATTCCTCTTCCTTTCCTTGCCTTCTTCATCAATCAATTCTTCATCATCATCACCAAACAACACCCACAAAAGCACAATTTTTTTGGTTAAATGCTAAATTTGGTCCCTCAACTTTAGTGAGTTGCACATTTTTGGCCCCTTAATAATTTTTTGCACTTTTTTGATCCCTCAACTCTAAGAAATGCACACCATTGGTCCTTCTGTCAATTTAGACCGTTAACTATAACACATGGCATTTTTTATAATTTTTTTGATGACATAGCAAAAATAATTTTAAAAAATGTTGATCTAGAATTTTTTTTTAAGCCACGTTATTGCCAACTCATCACCAACTCATCAACCGATTTTGCCTTAATAAAAAAATAAAAAATTACAAATTTACCCATCTCCCTTTTTGATCCATCTTCTTTCCCTCCCTCTTTCGATCATCTTCTTCCTTTCTTCTTTTTCTTTTTCTTTCTTCCTCTTCTTTCTTCCTCTTCTTCCTCTATGTCTGCTGGGTTTGGTGGAACCCAACAAACTGGGTTCCATCGAACCCAACTCGGGTTCGAGGAACCTAGTTTGCTGGGTTCGAGCTAGGTTCCTTTGCTGGGTTCCGTCGAACTCAACTCCACTTTTTTGTTTTGTTTTTTTGTTTTTTGTTATATGTTGGTTTGTGAAAAGATTATCCAAGACATTATATGTTTGTTATATGTTCAAAATGGAAATGGAAAGAACAGAAGCAGTTGGGCAAAGAAGCAATTCTTAGTGGGTTTTCATTTGTTTGGCTAGAAACTGGTATAGTTTGGGTGTTTGGATGCTGAGAAAATGCTTTGAATTTGGGTGGTTGCCGAGATTGGTTACTGAGAAACTATAATGTCCATTAAAGAAAGAAAATTTGATGAGAAAATGGTGATTTAATTATAAATTAATTTAGAATTTTAATTTTGAT